ATGAATATATACGCTTAAGTCTTAGACATAACTCAACCCTAAGCCTCATGGGCTCAAGTTTCACTGAAGCCCAATAGGGCTTGAGTGACCAAAAGAGCATATATCCAACAGTTTTTGTTTGTGTTCACTTAGAAGCAGGGCTGAATGCTGTGGTAGTTTGGTTGAAATGAGAAATAAGTGTTTATACTGGCAGAATTAAAGTTTACAAACTTCTGCAAGTGTTTTTGTTTGTGTTCACTTAGGCACAGGGCTGGATGCTGTGGTAATTTGGCCGAATGCTCCATAAATCCTCTGAGTTCGCAAACTCAAATTAAATTTTGGCTGAATTCTTTTCTTTAAAGTTTTATTTATGTGTTCGCTTAGATTCTTAGTTTTATTTTATTAAATAGTGATTTTAGGGATAAAATCAGAAGAATTAAGTAATATTCAACGGTGTTAAGTAAAAGGACATGATAGTAGTTTGGCTGAATGCTCCATAAATCCTCGAGTTCGCAAACTCAAAATAAAGTTTGGCTGAATTCTTTTCTTTAAAGTTTTATTTATGTGCTCACTTAGATTCTAAGTTTTATTTTATTAAATAGTGTTTTTAAGGATACAATCGAAAGAATTAAGTAATATTCAACGGTGTTAAGTAAAAGGATATGATGATTTTTTATTTTGCAAATCACAAGGGCATATGTGATGATAATAAAAAAATATAAAGATATAGATAATTCTGAAATAAACTACAGAAGTGTTGATGAATTTTTTCCTATTATAAATTCATGACATGTCATAAACTTCAACAAAAGCTTATAGTAATACCTAATGCGAAATATTTGTATTCACGTAATTTGATAGTATCAATTGAAATAACTATTATTGAATTATTTTTTTGGAAGAATATACTTATCAGTTACCACCAATTAAGTTTATTATTTCTTATCACTAAATCTTAATTGTTAATTTTTGTCAATCTAACGGTTATAATTTATTGAATGACACTTTTTAATTAATTATTAATTCTCAATAAATATAACCATTAAATTTATGAAAATCAACTATTAAAATTTAGTGATAAAAAATAATAAACTTAATTGATGCTAAATATAATTTTTCTCTTTTTTTTGTGTGTAGATAATTGATTCGCGAAATTCTTAAGATTTAAGTAGTAATATTTTTATTCGCATCTTTCTAGAAAACTCCCTTTTCTTTCACTGTTTATAATATAAAACAAGAAAAGACAAAAGAAAATAAAAGGTGCTGCTGTGCATAGCCATTGCCATGTGTAGTTAAGTCCCCAATGATTTCAATGATTATCTGAAACTGTAATCACCAGGATTGGTTTTCTAATTGGGAGACACTTCCAAATTTCAATACTTAAGCTTCAGTTCCCACTAACTAATTACTTTCTAGATCCCACATTCATCGAATCATAGCTTTTAATTATATTTATTATCAAAAGGCGAGGCCTACCTCTTTGGCAACGCCTTAAGAGAATGGCAATTTTTAAATTAATACAACATCTGTTTATGAGTAAATATTCTTTTTGATCTTCAGCAAATTTTATGATATCTATTTTAATTCTTAGCAGATAAAAAGGCTCATCGTGGTTCCTAAGAAATTTAAAATGGACCTATTTAATTGAAATTGTGGTCCCTCATAAATTAAAAAAAATCTATATTAGTCCCAAAAAAAACTAAAATTTGTCCATTTTGAATTTCTTAGGAACCACGATAAGTCTTTTTATTTGCTAGAGATTAAAGCGGACATCATAAAATTTGATGAGAACCAAAAATAGTATTTACTCTTTTGTTCATTTTTGAGAATGACTATGAAGCTTAATCGTTTGCACAGTCAAACCTTCAAGATACACACGCTAGAGGGATTGAATGAACTCCCCTATCATTTCAAGTAGCTGTAAAAAAATCATCATTAAATAACTTTATTACGAGAACTATTCACCCTAAGATAATATATTTAAACTTTGTGTTAGAAAGATATATTATAAAATTCTTAATGGCTTTCACGTAATAAGTTGTTGGGTGAAATAATTATATCATAATATTGATAGAATCTAATTTTTCGGTGTTCAATCAAAGGTGTTTGGTGCTCCATTGTGTGCAAATTGAAAATAAGGCGGCTTGATGTTTCACATGTTAAGTTACATATGTATGCACAACTCGATTTTCAAAAGCGTTTAGAACATTCTAGTTTGGGATGTAATGAATCATTATGGTTTTAATTTATTTTTGTGTCCCGTAAATGTGTGCAGTATCTTCTCGTGTTTGATTCTTCTTCACGAACTGCTATTTCTACACAAACAATCCCCTTGAGACTGACTAGTGGCAGATCTTCTAGACTATCTCTCAAGCCGGAATGAGCAGTGTGTGGGACTGTGGGCACTCTCTCATTATCGCAGAGATGATCTTACCCCAGCCTCTGCAACCACAAATTGAAGACATTGAGGCTAATAACCTATCTTGTATCGACACCGACACGGGACACGAGACACGACATGATATGTCACGCCGACATGTTAATTCTAAAAAATATTATATTTTAACACCTTAGGACACATTTTGATATAATATTTCTAATATATATAATATAATTTATATTTAATACATAAAACAATCCATAATAAGTCATATAACCAATCAAATATTCAAATTTCATAACATAAATACAAAGCAGAAGTAATTTTTTATACCTTGTTAATTTTTTATGTCAAATTTCATAACAGAAAAAAATTGTCTTATAAATTATTTTTTCATTTTTAGTTAATAAAATAAAATTTAGACCTTAAAAAAAAATACGTCAGAGCATTGACCGTGTGTCGCAAAAAGTTAACCGTGTGTCGAAAATACGTATTGGAGCATTGACTGCGTGTCTTAAAATGTTGATAGCATGTTGAAACGTGTCAGAGCATGTGATGCCCGACATATAATTTATTTTAAAAAAGACGTGTTCATGCATTTTAATTAATAATTATAAGTGTAAAATATAAATAAATTTCAAGAAATTTTAACTATAAGCTAAATGCACTCTAAATTTTTCTGGTACAAGAGGTGAAAAGTGTAAAAGAATAAAATATCTTGCCACATGCCCTGGGATGTGAAATGTGATAGTGTCAATTGTGACAAGTGACAACAAACACGTACGCAAATAGTGAAATATTAAAGTATGGAGATTGGAGAGCAAGGAAGGGCGAATCCAAGGGAAGAGTGAGGATCGATTATTATCCTTCCCTAAATTTTATTTTATTTATTGTTGTAAGTATAAAATGATATTTTTGTAACAATAATAGATTATTGGTGTTAATTGTTAGTCCTCCCTGAAAAATATTTGTAATAATTAACCCCTTTTATTAATCTTAATAACGCTTATAACCTTAATATTTTATTTTTGCCCCCATCATAAAAAAACCTGAATCCAACAGAGAGGGAAAAATTATAAATGAAGTTGACGTTTTATCCTACAATGAGAATGAAACATAAAAAAAGCACGTCCCTCCATTCCATAAAAATAAAAAATAAAAAATCATTTGATTGAGTTTTAAATATTTAAAATAATATTGTTATCCAATTTTGATATTTTTTTATAGAGATTTTTTCTGTCAAATTCACATAAAAATAAGTGAAACTTATTTTAAAAATAAAAAATAAAAAATAAAAAATAAAAAGATTAATAGAATCCACTCATTTTTATATAAACTTGATAGAGAAAAAAATTTGTGCAATAAAAACAAAAATGTTAAATCCTATTTTTTAAGTATGATACCAACTCCGTCTAAGTACCGTGACTTTTATTCTTTATAGTAGGTTCATACTGGTTCGGATCCGGTAGATATCATGTCATGCGTTTTAACATATTTAGTTTATTTATTTTTTTGGATATAAACATATTTAGTTTGATAACTGTATAATTTTTTTTAAAAATAATTCTTATGTAATTTATTTAAATTGACTTTAATTATACATCAATAATATATTTGGAATCTTTAAAATAGAAAGAATTTTTTGTGGTTAACAATTTAAATCCATTTAGTCCTTACTGGATCTAACAATTTCTCTATGCTGATAATTAGAATCAAATAATCTTAAGATCAAATCAATCCTTATTTTCTATTTTTTAATAAAAAAATCCATTAAAAATTATACTGTGTAAAAAAAACTGATTTTAAAATGAAAACAATATATCATAATTTTTAAAATAATTTATTCTATCTAAAAATCAAATATTCTCTTATTTATTAACTTGAAAAATGATTTTACTTATTTACAAAAAAAGATTTTACTTATAAAAAAATTATATCTTGAATTTTACGACTCCAAATACAATATAATTTAATCAATGATCCAATTGAGAAAAAAAAAATTATGATCAAGTAAGTGAATTAATGGACAGAGGTTATTTCAACTTAACAAGCAATGTCTAGCATTAAATACGCAGTAGTGTTAAAAATGTTATAGGAAGAACTTTTGATGCTCTTGTAGTACTACTATCGAATTAGTCTTATAATCAATAATCCAATAGAGAACTCTAAAATAAAAAACTAATTATTATTTTGGGCTTATATTCTTCATCTTCATTGAGAACATCTAATTTTTATATTTTTTTTAAGAGAAAAAAGCTATGTGAAGATTTTTGTAGATAACTATTATTATCTATTTTAAATAATAATGTGGACTTTTTATTTTTTAATCTAGCCAAGTTGTGCATGGCAACTGTAGAAGAACTGAAGAACTTTTCTTGTTTGAATGACTCGAGAATAAACATTTAAAATTGTTTTTGAAAAAAAAAGAGAGACGCCAATTGCAAGTTAATATTTTAAAAAAATTAGTCATCGATTTTGTCCTACATTCAATGGTTAGAATAAACATTTATTTAATCCGATAGTATATATCTTGACATGAATTTAATTCTTAAAATAATCATTATTTTATACTATAAAATACTAAATTGATCAATAAATCTCTTAAAGAATTGTGTTAGAACCAAACTGTACATATATTGGTAATTTCATTTACTGGGTATTGTTTTAAACAATTTTAGTGTGTCAGTTGGTACATAGCCATTTGAACGAAGGAAGGAAGGAAGGAACGATGTCAATTATCGAGCATGTGGTGTTGTTCAAGGTCAAAGACGATGTTGCACCATCGGAGATCGAAGGCGTGGTGGAGCGAATCAATTCCCTTGTCTCACTGGAACAGCCCCTTCACCTTACTATGGGTCCATTACTGCGCATCCAATCCTCCCCCTCCTTCAATTTCACGCACATCCTCCATAGCCGTTACAACTCCAAGGATGACCTCCACGCCTATGCGGTGCATCCCACCCACGTCGCCGTCATCAAGGTCAACGCGCCCTTCATCGATGACTCCATGGCTCTTGATTGGGTCGCCGAGGCTCAGGGTGGCCTGGTTACGCCACCTGGCTCCGCCGTGCGAGTGGCCTTCTTCAAGTTAAAGGAGGGTTTGGGAGATCAGGTTAAAGATGAGGTTTTGGGGGCTATAAGAGGAATTCAAGATGAGTTCAAACATGCCATTCAGCTCACTTGCGGAGAGAATTTCTCTCCCGGTAGATCCAAAGGGTTCTCCGTTGCTTCCCTTGCAGTTTTTCCTGAATTAAACGAATTGGAGGCAGCGGATTCTAACGAGGAAATAGGGACCTCTCAGAAGAATGATAAGATTAAGGAGCATCTGGAGAGTGTGATAGTCCTTGATTATGTGGTACCATCACCATAAGCCCAGTCAGCATCTTGATTAGGTTATGTTTATTTAATCTGTTCCTGTTTGTGTTATTTAGCTTAATTAATGTATGTTCTCTGTTAAATGGGATGGCATAGGATATATCTCCTTCCTTCTTTAATGCCTACTTTACTATTTCTTTTCAATATTATTAGATGAAAATCTTAAAAGGAGAAGTGACTAATTATGTTGGAAATAAATAAATGAAGTAAGTAAATAAGTAATTATGTTGAGATTCCTTTCTTGTGTTAAATACTTAAATTGTTATTAAAATATTGTATTTGTGTGGTGTTTTAACTTATGTTGCACCGATACCGACACGGACACGAGATACGACACGACACGACACTCCGACACGTTAATTTCAAAAAATGTTAAATTTCGACACGTTAGGACATGTTTTGATATTATATAATATTTTTAATTTATAAAGTGTATCTTATATTTAGTATTCAATAATTTAACAAAAAATAAAACTAAACTTATAAAACCTATCAATTTTTCAAAGAAACATAAGATATCCCAAATGTTTATATTGAACTCAATAAAATCGTAATCGTAATTTAACGAATCTAATAGTTGAAACTCAAAATGCAACGCAACGTAACCTTCGAATCTTTTTTGAGTCTTTGCAATGAGTATTGGAGTGTCAGAGAGTCAGTGAGTGTCGAGAAGTGTCGGACACGACACGTTAGGATTTTTGAAGTGTCAGTGCTACTTTATGTAGCCTCTAGAGTTACATCATTCTTGTATGGACTAATAAAGAGGATTAAGATCTTAACATTTTGCAGATGTGCTGAATTTTCATTTTATTCATTAAACTTCAATTCCGTATATAATTCTGTATTCAGCTATGTATAAAAGTAGAAGAACTTTAGGGGGCGTTTGATTGAGAATTTTTTTTTGGAATAGTAGGGAAATGTAATAGATAGAGAAATGATTGGAAAGTGAGATAAAATGAGATAGGTAGAAAAATGTAAAAAAAAGTTGTTTGGTAGGGAAAAACTTTACTGGGAAAATTAGATAATTTTTATGAAATCAACAGTGCATTAAAAATGAGATAATCGGTTTTCCAAAAAATTCCACCTTCAAACTGGGTTTCTAAATAGTGCGGATATCTATGTTTCCCATAAATTCATACAAATTGGATATATGAATTTTTGGTGAAAATATGTTGAAACAAATATAGTATTTCTAAAAGTCATACTTGAAAAAACATAGTTATCTCTTAAAAAGCTCCAAACCAAACACCACCTTAAGATTTATTTCCATCTGGGTAGTGGATCGCGGTAACGGATGCAACAAGTCGTAATTTGTATTCTTTTGGATAAAAAACAACTGGCTTTAATGAAAAAAACTGAGTTCGAGTACATGGGAAAGCAAAGCAGCTGTGTTGATTGTTGTTGCCTATGTTGCTCGATACCGACACGAGACACTGGACACGACATGACATAACATGTCGATACGTTAATTATAAAAAATGTCATATTTTGACGTGTGGGAACATATTTTAATATTAAATATTATTTTTAATATATATAATATAATTTATATTTAATACATATAACAACACATAATAAGTTATATAACCAATCAAATATTCAAATTTCATAATAAAAATAATTTTTTCTACCTTATTAATTTTTCATGTCAAATTTCATAATAGAAAAAAATTAATTTATAAATTATTATTTTTATGCACATTGACCGCGTGTCGAAAAAAGTTGAATGCGTGTCGAAAAAACGTGTTAGAACGTGTAAAAGAATTTACCACGTGTCTCAAAATATTAACTGCATGTCAGAGCATGTCACTGTCCAATATGTGTCCAATACACAATTTTTATAAAATTCAAAATTCAGCGTGTTCGTGCTTCACAGGTTGCCGTTGCTATGCCGAAATTTAACTATTTTTAAAATTGGTCTTGGTTGATTCTACCTTTAGCGGTCATTTACACATACATGTTCTGTTCTCTGAGGCTCATCATTTTTGGTTTTGCATCTCAATTGAACTTAATGTTATGTACTTTTCAGCTGAGTTAGCATCACGTCAGATTACTTCATAAGGCAGAGGGTGTTATTATAGTGCATACCTAGACTAGTTTATCTCCCCATTCTGGTTAAAAGAAACCATCTACGTCAGGACTAAAAATTTGCAAAGATATCCTTTGTAACGTGATCCAAAGTAATTAACATAACTAAAATTTAAGCTTATAATTACGTGCATACTCACACATCACTTGGTTGTGTATATCACTAAATCAATCTCTTCGGGTTTAATTTGTTAGACAGATAATTTGCGTAATTTTTGAATAGTGGTTGTGCTGTCAACATGGGCCGGAGCCCAAGATGTTGGACTTGACCGTGGGTCTCTTAAATGACTTCGCTACTCTACTTTGTCTCATTAAGTCCAAGTATTATCATACAGGCCCTCTCAGCTCATTCCTTCGCTATGGTGCAAAATAATGAATAAATAAATTTAAACAGTATATGAAGGGAATAAATATAGAATAAACATAAACAACTCCTTTATCTATATATATAACATTATTTATAACAAAATAGCAGTAAACAATTAAAAAAATTTCAAAAAGAATGGAAATAAAATATATAAAAGGATAAAAAGAATAATAAAGTAAAAATAAGAAATAAAAATAAAGAAATAGAGGAAAAAAATGAGAGAGTAAAATAAAGGAAAAAAATAAAATAAATAAATAAGATAAAAAAAGATTGAAAGGAAAAAGAAATAAAAGAAATACTGATGAATAACATTGGCGGACAATAGTATATAATATTTTGTAGAACTATTTCTAAAAGTTCATTGATGAATTTGATTTTTATTTTTTGATTTTTACTTTGTATATTTTCTCAAATTGTATATTAATTTCCCTTTTTTTAAATTATAGTTAAGCTATATACTAATTTAATTAAAATATCAGCAAACTCTAGTATTTGTAAGTCATTTAGTCTAATAAATAATTCATTTATTCAAATAAGTGTTGATAAAATTTTGATCAAATAAAAACAGGTTAATAGATAATTTAAGAATATGGGTAAATTGATATATAATTTAGGACGATGAACAAATTATACATTATTCAAAACATATTTTCAAACAAGGACAAAATGATCAATAAATTATTTGTTAAATTAAAATAAAATATATATCGTATTCATGACTAATACATATTTTCAAAATATGTTAATAGATAATATAAATAAATGAAGAATTACGTAAGTACTCTTTTTTATTAATAGAATTACGTAATCACTCTTATTTTATTTTTTTGTATGTAATCACTCTTATTTTAATAAAGAGTGTTACTAAATAATTGGGTTTTTGACCTAAGAAATGTCAATTTCAAAAAAATCCACCTGTTTACTTTGATGATCAAACATTTTACCGGATTAAGGCAGAAAGACGCATTTCAGGTGGTTATGCGTTTAGTCGCGCACCTGACACATGCGTTTCTGATTGTGACGCAACTATGCCACGTAACGCGTGCCTAAACATGACGCATCTTGGTATGGTATTGGTCAGACTTGTCAGAAACACGCACCTAGTACAGACATGTTCAGACTTGTCAAAAATTTGCACTTAGTACAGACGTGTTCAGACACGTACATGATATATTGTCTAGATTTGTCGGAAACGCGCATGTGTCAGGTGCACGACTAAATACGTCCTGCATTAATCCAGTAAAATGTTTGATCAACAAACTAAACAAGTGTATTTTATTAAAATTCGCATTTCATAAGTCAAAAACACAAAATAATTAAACGTTTTGTATTAAATAATAATTATACATTTAAATAATAATGTATTAATTTTTTTTTTTTTTTGATAACAATGTATTAATCTTTAATATTTGTACAGGTGAGAACAGACCACATTCAGAGTTACAAACTCTTGACTTTTATCGGAACACAGAGAGACATACACACCGGAAGGAAGAGATGTCAATCATCGAGCATTTGGTGCTGTTTAAGGTCAAAGACGATGTTGCACCGTCGGAGATCGATGCCATGGTCGACCGAATGAATTCCCTTGTCTCCCTCGAGCAGGTTCTTCACCTTACAGCGGGGCCATTGCTGCGCATCCAATCTTCCCCTTCCTTGAGTTTCACTCACTTCCTCCATTGCCGCTACAACTCCAAAGATGACTTCCATGCCTATGCGGTGCATCCCACCCACGTGGCCGTCGTCAAGGCCAACGACCCCTTCTGCGATGACGCCATGGCTCTTGATTTTGTCGCGGAGGATCTGCAGGGTGGCTTAGTTCCGCCACCGGGCTCCGCCATGCAAGTGACCTTTTTCAAGTTAAAGGAAGGTTTGGGAGATCAAGTTAAAGATGAGGTTTTGGGGGCTATAAGAGGAATTCAACAAGAGTTCAAACAGGCCATTCAACTCACTTGCGGGGAAAATTTCTCTCCCGGAAGAGCCCATGGGTTCTCCATCGCTTCCCTTGCAGTTTTTCCAGGGTTAAGTGAATTGGAGGCAGCGGATTCTAATGAGGAAATAGGGAACTATAAGAAGAATGAAATGATTAAGGAGCATCTGGAGAGTGTGATGGTCCTCGATTATATCGTACCATCACCCAAAGCTCGATCTGCATCTTGTTGATGAGGTTGTGTTTTATGTATTCCTGTTTGAAGACTGGTTAATTAGCTTAATTAAAGTAATGTGATGCTTGGCAAATAAAATGAAACCACACTCAGACAATTTAATAATCGACTGCTAAATTTGAAGTGATGATATATATATATATTTTGAGTGTTTTCCTTCGGTCAATTTTGTTATATCGTGTTTTTTCAATTTGGTGTTTTTGCTGCTACCTTCGGTGACTAGCGGGTTCAAGCTAATGTGAGTCAAAGCATTTCTAGAGGATGCATATAGTTCTTACATAGGGTATTATTTTGTGGGTAGTCAACGATGATGTCAACACGGGCTGGGTACTAGTATGCTGGACTAGGTCTAAAATACCCTCCTAGCCCAGATATTGTATGGGCCCTCAGCTCTTATGCACAACAACGTGCAACTTAATTGAAAAAGAAAGAAAAAAGAAAAAGACCCTCGCGTCCATCTGATCCACTCATTCCTGTGTACGATGCTGTGTCTGAGAACGCAGCTGTCGTTTTCCTCTCCATTTTCTCTCACTTCATCGGCTTCCAAACACTTCCGTCAGGTGCAGCGCTGGCCATCCAGATCATCGACCAAGATGATGTCAACGGAAGCCGTGGAACACATCGTACTGTTCAAGGTGAAAGAGGACACTGAGGCGTCAAAGGTGAGTGCCATGGTGAACGGACTAAGCTCACTTGTCACACTGGATCAGGTCCTCCACCTTAGCGTGGGCCCGCTCCTACGCAACCGATCCTCGTCGTTGACCTTCACTCACATGCTTCACACTCGCTACAAGTCCAAAGAGGATCTCGAAGCCTATTCCGCACACCCTAGCCACGTCAGCGTCGTCAAGGGATCCGTGCTCCCCATCATCGATGACATCATGGCCGTCGATTGGGTCGCCAAGGACCTTCGCGGCGACGTGGTTCCGCCGCAGGGTTCGGCGATTCGGGTGAGCTTCTTGAAATTGAAGGATAATGTGGCTACCGATGAGGTGTTGGATGTTATCAGAGAAATTCCTGAAAATTTCAAACAAATTAATCAACTCACTTGCGGGGAGAATTTCTCGCCGGCAAGAGCTAAGGGTTTTTCGATTGCGTCCCTTGCGGTTTTCCCAGGACCAAGCGAGTTGGAGGCGGTGGATTCGAACCAAGAGTTGGTGAATTATCAGAAGGATAAGGTTAGGGATCATATCGAGAGTGTGGTGGTGGTTGATTATGTGGTGCCGCCACATCCTGCTCAGTCTGCAAGCCTTTGATGACAAGGTTATTGCTATGCTCCCCATTGTAACTGTTCAATCAATGTTTTTTCCCCCCCATAAGCTAATATAATATGCTCTATTGTGATGCAATGTTTGTCAATAAGGTTTCAAACTATAATTCCAAATGTTGTGGTTTCCAGTTTACAGCTGAATTTACTCGTTGACTGATATTCACAACTTTGACTAAATGTGTGCATTATATGAGAAACTACTACGGCATATTATAGGCTACGAATGTCTATGAACTATTTAATTTAATTTTTTCCTTGAATTGTAAGTTAATATCCAGTGGAAAATAGCATAATGATGTACTGCTTAGTTATTGGGCTTCAAAAATTTTACTAGCAAACGGTGTATGAGAGCAAGAACAACCTCCCAGAGTTTCACACTTACTCCCCCCCCCCCCCAAAAAAAACCCACCATAAATCTCACACTCCCCTCATCATTCTCCATCACACAAGCATAATTATCACTTCTCTCATTCTTCATTCATCAGGCACATTCACTCTCCACCAATATTACCCCAAATCACCTTTATACATGCTCTGAAACCTTAAAAACACACATTTGGCCTAAAGTTCCTTCCTTCATTCCTCCACAAGAGGAAGCCTAGCGGGTCCATACTATAAAGCAAGCATACCCCGTTGAGAGGTCTCCACTTCACTTGGACATGTGCAGCGTGGGCTCTTAGAAGCTGCCTACCCACTATTTTCACTCTATCGCCAACCAGGGGCTAGATCCTTACTATATGTATGTTTCCTTGGTGTATGGTAACCCACAAAACCCAATCTAAAACAATAACTTAATATCATACTCAACGTCGGCTTGACCCATTGTCAACCTCTCTGTTCTCTAGGTGAAGATTATACATCCACACATTCCCCACTATATATATATATATATATATATATATATATATATATATATATGTTAGCTTACAGAGCCATGATTTATGTTGGTGTATCCATTTGCTTGATGTTTTCTTTTCCCAAAGGCTCATCATTCTGGTGTCTCAAGTAGATAACCTTAATAAGTTCTAATAACTGATATACTTGATGCTTGCCATATTTAAAGTCCTTACCATCGGTAGAAATAAGTGGCGGTAGAAAGTAGAAACGTTTCGCCCGTAAGTTGTCGACCGATTATACTTTGTTAATTATAAAATTGTTGCTGGAAGAAATTTAAAACAAAATCTCAAAGAACAAGAATTCTTCTAGAAATTGGCAATCCTTATCCATTAGTAGTAGTAGAGCACTCCAAAGTCCAAAGCATTCCAAAGGCATAAATATTTGCCATAATGCTCCATACTTGTCATATCAGCGTGTCTTTCAACAACCATAAGGTAGGCCATTGTCCCGGACTCCTGTTTTTCCCTTAAATATTGGCTTTTTCACCCACAAGACGTTCATTTTCTAATTTAGGTTCTTCATATCATGTTACCAATACCAATTGTAAATAGTATGTTGCATTGCTAGATAGTTAGTTAAGAATTCAAGTGTATAAATAAGTGAGAGGTAACCAATGAATTCATAAATAAAAAATAAAAGAACGAAGACCATTGTTAAGAATTCGATGTAACTTTGTTCATACGCGACTTTTAGGCGAATGAACCATGAAGGTAAGGGGAATCTTATTCTATCATATCACTTGCAACTACTAGATCATGTTCTCTTATATAGCTAGCGAGGAATTTCTACATATACCAGCCTATCTTCCCCAAAGTATATTGTTATTCACACGACTTTGGTGTACTTGTAGAAGTTAGTAGGCATTCAAATTTGTTGGATATTTGTAAATTATTTTTGTGATTCAGATATGATATAGGGTGTGCATGACAATCATTCTATTCCCTAGCACTGTTTCTGAAAAGAAACAATTCTTTTCTATTTCTGTTCCTTGGAACAGTTTCTGAAAAAAAAAAATGTGTTTGATAACATGTTCTATTTTTATTCCGAGAATGAGAATTGTGTTTGATAACACAATAAATAATATAATAAAAAATAATTCCTATTAAATATAAAAAATTCAGATAATTACTTTTCTTTCCATATGGTGTGGTTGTGGTGGTGGTGGTGGTGGCGGCGTCGACGGTACAGCGGTGGTGGTGGCAGTGACGAGGTGATGATAGTGGTGGTGGTTGTGACGACAGTGGCTGTGGCGATGGTGGTGGTAATGGCGGCGGCGATAGTGGTGGGGCTGGTGGTGGTGGTGGTGGAGGTGGATGTGACGGCAGTGACTGCGACAATGGTGGTAGGAATGGTGGTTGGTGGCATTGTTGGTGGCGGCAATGGTAGCTGTGACATGGTGGTGGTGGTTGTGATGGCATCATGGAAATGGTGGCGGTAGTGGCAGTGGCGGTGGTTGTGACAGTGGAGGTGGTGGTAGGTGATGGTGATGGTGGCGATGATGGTGTAATGGTGGCGGTGGTGGTGGTGACGGTAGTGGCTGGGACGATGGTGGTGGTGGTGGTTGGTGGCGACGGCGGCGGTGACGGTGTCGGTGGTGGGGATGGTGGTTGGTGGCATTGGTGGCGGTGACAATGTTAGCGGTGGCATGGTGGTGGTGGTGGTAGGTAACAATGGTAGTGGTGGTGATGGTAATGGCGGGGGTGGTGTAATGGTGGCGATGGTGGTTGATGGCGGCCGCGGCGGTGTTGGTGGTGGCTGCAACAATGGTAGTGGTGATTGGTGACAGTGGTGGTGATGGTAGCGGTGGTGTTGTGGTGGTGGTAGTGGTAGTGGTGATGGGGGCGGTGGCGGCAGTGGTTGCGATGAAGGTGGTGGTGGTTGATGGCGGTAGTGGTGATAGTGGTGGTGACGGTGACGGTGATAATGTTGGTGGTGGTTGCAGTGGTGGTAGTTGTGGTGGTGGTGACGGTGCCATAGTGGTAGTGATGAGTGGAGGTGGTGGTGATGGTGGTGGGGGCATCGCGGTGGTGGGGGTGATCACGACAACACTAGTGGTACGACAGCGGCGACGACAATGGTGGCAGCGGTTGTGTTGGGATAATGGTGGTGGTGGTGATGATGTAGAGATGAAGAGTAATTAAGAGAGATAAGTGTTTCTCATTTTGTGATAATTTTTTTGATTTTTTTTTCTGTTCCCTGAAACAAAAACTAATATGGTTCATCCCGGGAACAAAAAAATAAATCGGTTTTACCAAACGAGTTTTCTATCCATTTCTGTTCCCGGGAACAGAAATTAAAAAAAAAATGATTCCGGGAAGGCTGTTATGTACCGATAGGTTTCTTGTAAATTGTGAATATCTTGTTGCTGACTTGGGCCTACCCCCAGAGTATATAGCTGACTTGTGTCTTGCTTGTTAATTTGGGCCTTTTAGTTTCTTTTGGAAATCACGCTCGTATGTTAGATTGTTAGGTAAAACTTTAAAAGCCCATGGTACAATCAATTTTAGAAATAAGATATTATATCTATTTTTCATGCCTGCTTTACATGCTTATCTCCACATCATTAGATCATAATTTCAAACAGTGGAAAAGAGAAAGAGGCAAAAGGGTTTGGTTGACCAAGTAAATCTCCACAGTTGGAAAATTGTGATCTAACGGTGTGAAGAGAAATAGATAAAATAAATATGAAAAAAAAGAAAGACATAATATGTTATCTTTAATTTTATTCTATATTTATTTATATATCTTCTTAGGTGTTAAATAAAAGAAAAATGATTAAAAAATTAAATATTGGGAGTGATGTCTCTAGCTTTGGCCGAATGTCACGTCATTATAATTTTTTACATTTAACAATTTGATAAGGAGAAAATTTTCAGTGCAACAACTGTAGATACATCCCCACTAAAAAAGTAAAGTTTTTTTTACTTAAAATATGGGTAAAAATGAATTATTATTATTTTTTTTAATAAAAGGGAGTATCCAGTTTGATACTTTCATAGTATTAAAAATTTTTCCTGTGACAGGAGTTGCTTTAAAATTTACTGATCAATTAGCCTCACTAGTCACTTCTTACAAAACAAAATCATTCTCAAATTATTTCATGAAATTTAACCATTAGAGCCAGATTGGATCTAAAAATTTATTGACTTTATTAAAAAATAAAATAAAACTTGCGAGTGATGCGTGAGGGGTTTGTTGAGCACAACCTGTTTGTCCAAGAGATAATAGACGTAATTAAACACGAAAATTTTCGCTTGGAGAAGTAGGAGCAACAGTTTTTTGAATTTCACCATACGCATTGAATTGAGTCAAGAAGGTAGGTCATATTGAAAAAGTCTTTTCTTTTCTCTTTTTTCAACTCATTTATATCTATTATCTAATCTTTTTGGGGGCTCGGCTAAATGGTGGTATGTATAGCCGAGCCCCCAAAAACCGAGCTAACCAAAAAAAAAAAAAAGAATAAAAAATACATTCGCCGAGTAAAAGGAGAGAGAGGGATTCGAATGTCAGAGGATGTCTCTTGCTTTGGCCGAATAACGGGAGTTGATTCTCTCATGTTAAAATTTAATATGATCTGGTCATATGAAATTTGAAAATTTTGTGTGTCTATAAACACAAATTTCACATGACTAGATCATGTAAAATTTTAATATGAGAGGATTCATCTCCCCACACGTCACGTCATCATAATGTTTTTCTTTTGGGCACAATATTCTTGGAATGTAAATTTTCTTTTTTTTCTTCTTCTTCTTTTAATTAAGCTAATTTTCAAAAAGAAAAGTTACTTAGATATTATTTATTTTTGGCTTAAATTAAGTTCATACTTCAATGATACTTAGTAATTATGTGCTTGTTCAATTTGCATAGATAATTTTTTGAAATATATTAGCATTATTTTAATATTAAACAGCAATAAAGTTTATTAGCTTTTAGAGGGGGTAAAATACGACTAGAAAGCAAACATAAACTACAAATTCTATAAATCACTATAAATTTTCACCATGAAAATCATGTACAATTTTTATAAGATTATTATTGTAAGAAGATGAGCTCAGTAGATTATTTGTAAGAAAAAAATCTTTATTTTTCTACTGATTTATATGTAGTATTATTTAAGTAATTAGTGTAATATTTATTTTAACATGTCCTGGTGAGAGTGACAAGACGTTAGACGTATCAAGCCCTTTTCATCTATAAACTTCGATGTAGCTGGAACATTAATCAGCCATTATGAGAAAATCTGTTAAATGATTCAATTATGAGGAAAATGACTAATAAAATTCACGTGAGCTTTGACAAAAACTGCAATTTGGCAGCAAACCATCTAACTTTCAAGCTCA